CCCGATCGCGCACGCAAACCCTCAGGCCGCGAGGGACACAGCGCGCCGGCCGCCACCGCGCGCAGGAACGAGGGGAGGGGCGCGGCGGGCCCCCCTCCTCCTCCTCCTCCTCCTCCTCCTCCGCACCCCACCCTCCCCGTCGCGAGCCCGCCCGCCCCGGCGGCCCCGGGAGCCGGGCCGGGGACGCCCACGGGCCAGGCCACACCGGGAACGGCCGACGCGCCCTCAAGAGCCCGTCCGTCCGCCCGCCCCAGAGGGGCGGGGGATGCCGGGCGGCGAAGACACGGCGACCGGCCCGCGGTGGGCGGACCGGGGACCCGACCGGCGCTCGGGAGAGCGCGTCGGAGCGGGGGGCGCGGCGGGGGGGTGTGCTGGTGGGTGGGTGGGGTGGGGGCGGTGGGAGGGGGTCACGGGTGCTTCCCCCCTCGCCCAGCCCGCGACGACGTCGGCGGACAGGCGGCGGCGGCAAAGCGGGCAACGGATCGGGGCCGCGGCAGGCCCGGGGAAGCGAGGCACACCAGGGCGCGGCCCCGGGGAGCAGCAGATGGGGAGCGGACCGGGGCGGACGGGCGGACGGACAGAGAGGGGCACCGGCGGTGTGCGGCCACGTGACACCAACGCCACGGAACCGGCGGTGGAGGCGGGGGTGGCCGCGCGCCACCGCGAGGGGGATGGGCTCGAAACGACCCGGGGGAAGCGAGTCAGCCGCTAGGGCGCACCGCGGGATCTCACCGCCAGAGGCCTCCCAGCACAGGGGCGGTCCCGCGGCACACCCAGAACGACAGACTGGCCTCTCCGGCCACACACCCCACCCCCGCGGGGGGGAGGGGGGGCGCACCCCTCACGGGGGCCTCACGCCCACCGCCACACCTACACCCAGAGCCGCAGCCGGCCCGGGAGAACGCTCTCGCGCCGCGTACCGGCAAGGCCCCCACAGCCCTCACACGCGCAACCCTGCTGTGCGCCAAAGGCTTCCCCCCGCCCGCCCCGTCCCCCTCTCAGGGCTCCGAGGGCACTGCGCCACCCGGGGACGCCACCGGCCGACAGAGGCCGGTAGGCGACACCCACGTGAGGCGAGGCCAGCTCGGTCCCAGACCGCGGGGGACGGGGGTGGGAGGGGACACAGGCGGCCGCACGCACGGGACGAGGAGGAAGGCCGGCAGCGGTGCGGAGGGGCCGGCCAGCACACGCAGCAGGGGCTGCGGGACGGGGGCGAGGGCGCCGTCCCGGGGACCAGGAAACACCGGGACACAGCCGGGCCACCAGGAAAACCAGCGCGGGGTCACACCGCCACCCACGCACGAGGGCGGTCCCGCGACGCCTGGGACGCCGGCCGTTCCCGGCCAATCCCTGGAGCGGGCCCCACACCCCGGCCCCGCCGCCAGGGCCGGCGTGCCGTCCAGCCAGCCCTTCCTCCATCCGTCCGTCCGTCCGTCCATCCACGACAGATCCATCTTCCATCCAAGTCTGACCCCGAGGGCTCAACATCCTGGGGACACGCTCTCGAGCGAGGCGGCCCAGACCGGGCCCACCACACCACCACCGGCTGTGGCTCGGGGGCGAGGGCGGGCGCGACAGGCTCCTCCTCACCACAGCTGCGGGGCTGGGGGAGCCGGGGCCGACCGGGCGTCGCGCCCCGACCACCCCCTTTCCCCCTGGGCTCACACCGCGGGGCCGGCCGCGCGCACACAGCACACACGCACGGCCCCCCCCCACTCACCAGACACCCGGCGGGGCCCAGCGGGACCCTCCCCCAACTCGGAGGGGGGAGGCGCAGGCCGCAGTAGGCAACAAGCGGCACGCGGCCCCACCGCGGGGCCGGCGCAACCATCACCCCCCCCCCCTTCCCACGGAGGGGAGGGGGGGGCTTTTCTGCCCACGTGCTCTGGCAGTCGCCACGGTGGCCACTGCGCACTCGGGAGGGGCAGCGTCTGGGGGGTCCGGTACCCCAAGGCTCCCTCTCAGATCGCTAGAGAAGGCTTTCTCACCGAGGGCGCGCCGTCCCTCACCCGGTCGTCTCTCCTTCGGGCCCCACAGAGGCACACCGGGAGCCGCCAGTCCTCAACTGGGCGGGAGGGGTCTGCGGTACAGGTAAGCAGATGACCACGCACAGGAGCGCGTGCGCGGCCAGGGCCGGGGCAGAGCCCGCGCCCCGCCCCCTGCAAGGCCTCATCCGTCAGCCTCCGCGACGAGGGGAGCACACAACGCTTCTCTCACCGCCTCGACCCGCTCCCACCCAGAGAGAGCCACTCATGGGACACACGCACACCACCGTGGTGGGGACCCGAGGAGGACACAGGGTTAAGGGAAAACGGCACCACCGCTCGGCCTCGGGCACCTGAGGGACGACCTGGAGCACTCCAGGGGCACCACCGAGGGTCCAGCAAGGCACGCTCACACACCCGTGCGGGGGCGTGTGGCGTGGCAGCGGCACAGCCCTCCCCACCGCGGGGAGGGCCGCTCGCGGGGCAACACGCCAGGAAGGCGAAAGCAAGCGCATCTGCTGTGTCTGAAGACCAACGGCCCCACCAGACACCCCAAGGCGGGGGACGGGAGACCGAAGGTCAGGGCCGGAGGCCTCACCCCAACACCCCCTGCCTTCCTCACCCTCCCCAAGGGGCAAGGGGGGAAAGACAGGCGAGGGGCACCGCGGACAGACCGAGAAGAGCGGACACGTTCACTGGGAACGCCCGTCCCTCGTCCGGCACGGCTTAGGCCCGGCCCGGGAGAGCACGACCACACCACATCAATCAGTTGAGCCAAGGTGGGGGGGTGGGGGTGGGGAGAGGGCACAGGCGAGGACAGCCACCAGAAGGGCCCGCTTTAAGCCTCACTGGCAACCGGCAACCTCCGGCAACCTTCCCCCTCCCCGCCACCAACAACCCCACACCTCAGGCGAGGGCGACCGACGACCCCAGGAGGAGAACGCCTGACACGTGGCACGGAGCCTACAGGGCGGGGGTCGTCCCAGCCACCACCGGCTGCCCGCAGCGGGGAGCGCAGAGTCATCAATCAAATCAAAGACCCACACCGCCTCGCCCCACCGCCCTCGGGCCGCCCTGGGACCAGAGGTGGCACCACGAGCCGGGTCGGCCAGACACACCACACGGGAGCCGGCGCACAGGGCCCAGGCGGGCGGCTCCAGCGGCAGAGGCCAAATCAGGCGCCGGCTGGCGGCCCAAAGGCCCAGAGCCCCGCGTGCATCCAGAGACCCAAAGTTCTCGGCGGCAGACACCAAAGCAGACCGTGTCAGCACTTACCTGGTGGCAAAAAAGACCTATTTCGGGCGACACAATGACAGCAGCCGACAGCAGGGCCCATCTACGACTCGCAGGGAGGGACCCCGGAACCTTGACCCGGCCACCTGTTCCCAGCACTACCCCACGAACACCAGGCCTGGAGCTATCGGGGGCCATCTGGTCGACTTGGGGGGGGGGGGAGGGGAGGGGGGAGGGAGGGGGCCGCGTGGTGGCAAAAGTGGGGACGCGGACGCCAAGGGAGAGGGAGCTGGCCGGAGACGCCCTCCCCGCTTCGCCCACACGCGTAGGCGGACCGGTCCGTCCGAGTCTCCGAACGGGGACTTGGCTTCGATGTGCATAAAGAAAAAAAGAAGAAAGCAACGTCAGCGAGGCGCCTCCAACAAGACGAGCGGGCCCCGACCAGGGACCACGCCCGGGGCCCAGACCGTCCTACACGGGGCACCCAGGACGGCTCGAGCCGGTCCCCACCCACCTCCTGACTGACCGGGATTCAGGGAGGTTGGGGAGGGGTGAGAAAAAGTCGCGTCCGACGACCGAGACCCACGAGGGCACGCTGTATGGTCGAGCGCGCCCTCCCCGGCCACCCGCGGGAGCAGGGCCCGGTCCATCCACGTCTCCGGACCTATCGGGACTTTGAGAAAGAAAAGGCATGCGTGCCGGGAGACGCCTCAGGCGACAGGACCCCACCGGGGGACCGCACACGCGCCCGCGCCGGCCGTCCTCTCCGGGTCAGCCCTCACGACTCCGGCGGGCGGGTCCCCACCTGGGGAGTGCGACGCGGAAAACACCTCTGTCAGAGAGAACCCGAGGGCCCGGACCCAGCCGCGCCCTCCGCCGACCTCCACGCCACAGTCCGGGCCGGTCCCCACCTCCGGAGCGGGGCCGAGGGCGAAGCACACGCTCCTGAGGGCGACCCGGGAGGAGGCCGGACCGCCGAGTCCGAGTCCAGGCGCTCCGGGCAGGGAAGACCCTCTCCCTGCCCACCGCGGCGGGCCGGCCCAGGTAGGGTCCGGCCGGTCCGTCTCCACGGCCGGAGGGGCACGGGGAGATGCTGGTCGACCCGGCCAGGCCGCCCCAGAGCCCCGATCTGGAGCGCCGCGACAGTCACCCTCCCCAGAAGCCTAGAGAACCAATCTCCGCAGACAGCAGGACGTCCCCAGGCCTCGGTGTCCCCGGGACTGTCACCGCCAGCGTAGCCGGTCTCTGAGAGCTCTGCCTCGGGCCCGGTGGCTGAGTCACAATCCTCCTGAAGGCCTCGCCGAAGCTCCGGAGGGGGAGGGACAATATAGAAGCGGCCGCCAGGTGGCTCCTGACAAACGGCTCGACCGTCCCGAGGACGGGTCGCTGTCGCCGGGCGCCGAGGACGCCACCGCGCCGGCCTCCCAAACGCCCGAGCTCGGCCCGGAGCCTCCTCCGCCTCCGAGCCACACGACGCGACGCGACCCCGGCCGCAGAGGAAGGGAGAGGAGCTGGGAACTATCTCCTCAGGAGGCTGCCCCGAAGGAGACGCGCTCCCCCCCCCCCCCCCCACACACACACACACGCGCGATTCCAGGGTGGTGGGGGGACGTTCCACGGAGACGCCGGCGGCGGGGGCCTGGGGGCCGAGAGAGGGGCAGCAGTGACATCCCGGGCTCCCCCGGACCCCCTCCCCCCAAAAGAGGGAGGGAGGGGAGGAAGGAGGGAGGGAGGGAGGGAGGGAGGGAGGGAGAGAGGGACCGACCGGCAAAGCGAAACCAGGCAAGCGCTGCTCGGAGAACAAAGCAGGACTTTCGAAAGCAGACACAGACACAGACACAGACACGCAAGCCCAGGAGCAAGAAAGGAAACGAAGGAGACACTCGGACCCCCAACAAGAGGAAACAAAACTCAACCTGGGTAGAGACCGTGACCAAGTCCAAAGACAACAAACACAAGCATGCGCGGGTGGGTGGGGAAAGTGCACTTGAGGTCAGGAGAACATGGATTTCAAGATCACTGGCCACAAACACCGGAAAGGCGGGCGGCCGGGCGGTCTCGGGTGGCAGGGCTGCGGGGGGTGGGGTTGAGGGAGGGGCGCGGTGGGGAGGACCGAGTCAATAGGGATCCACTAAATAAACCCCGGATTCCATGACAACAGCCAAGTCAATGAAGACATAACTTTCTGAAGTAGCACCTAAACGAAATGAAACAAAACCACCAGGCAGGAAAGTCAAGTCATAGAACTGCTCTGGCAGCTTAAAAGTCAGAGGGAGGGAGGGAGGGAGGGGGAGAGAGAGAGAGAGAGACAGAGAGAGACAGAGGCAGAGACAGAGAAAGAGAGAGAGAGAGAGAGAGCGCACATGTGCATATACGCATGTACGTATGTATACGGACACATATTGGCATCTATATATACGTGCACACATGCGTCTAAACAAGTCCGTACGAAGGGCATGCATGCTCACGTACGCGCATGTGTCTGTGTGTGCACGTATATGCCTAGGCGTTTATAGTGTGCATGGTTGCTTGCGTGTATATACGCATGCACAGGCATCTATCTATACACACACGTACACGGATATGCACGCGCATGAATGCACATGCTCATATGTGCCTATACGTAGATATACATACCTACATTTAAACAAACACGGGCGTGTAAACGCATATAGATGCACACGTGTGTGTACGTGTGGTGTATACGCACAGGTGTGTGTGCGCGTATATGCGGACACGGACGTGCATGCTTACATATGCACACATATCCGCCTGTGTATATGCACACGTGTACGTACACGCGTATACATACATATGTACGCACGCCTAGACGTCTACATATAGCGTATATACGTCCACACAGACGTACGGCTGTATATGTGTATATATACGCATGTACGTATGTACAGTTGCAAGTGTGTGTATACAGTGCATATACACAGATTGATGTGCATGGATGCGCACACACACGCGCATGTGCATACGCGCGTGTGCATGTGTGTGCGCGCGTATGTATACATACACGTACGTATTGGTCAGTGTACGTGTACCTATGTGCATACATACGCATGTGTCTGTGTAGATGTCTCCGCGCGCGCGTGTGTATATACATATAGGCGTAGATATGTACATATATATGTGTATATGTACATATACACACACACAGACCTACACGTACGTACACAGGCAGAAACACACATCCGTGTGTGTGTGTGTGCGTGTGTGCGTGCGCGCATACCAGGAAAGCGCAAGCATATGGCCAAAGGGGATTTTCCGTCCAAAACTGATCAAGGCGTCAGACAACTGAACCTCCAAAAGAGAAACAATCCCCGATGAGCGAGGTCGGCAGGAGGCCCGAACAGACAGCTTCATTCAAAATAAAGGTAGAACAGACAGACACTCAAGAAGCACAAGGTAGGAAACAAATCAATGGCGGGGCTGGGCTGGGCTGGGCTGGGGTTGCTGGGGGTGGGGGCGGGCTCAGGGAAGCACCCCGGGGCGTTTATCTGGACAATGATAACTTGGAGGGGAAAGGCCCAGGAGCTGGACTCGCAATCGCGACAGCAAGTTCGAAACATCAGAAGACAGTGGCTCCTGATCGAGGGAATGCGTCTTTCCTGCAGCTGAGAAAAGTGTTGGCGGACTCAGAGATATCAGAGCTCATCCCCTGGCACCTCACAGAGAGAGAAACCCCATCACTAGGGAAACGAGTCCTGGGATCCCTCAGGACACTCCACCAAAGATTCCCCATCCGACCCAACCTGGCAACTCCACGGAGTGCCTACGGAGGGGACCAAGAAGATATGCGCGTGTGTATGTGTGGTATCGACACCTATACCCAGGTAGACATCCGTACAAACAGAATGATAGAACTCTCCGTCTGTGTGCCCACACCTGTATCTATTCAGGTGCGCGTGTGCGCACGCGCATGCAAACACACCCCCACCCACACCACGCCCACCCACCCACCCACCCACCCACCACCACCCCCCCACACACACACACAAATGGGACTCAACCACCAGAAGGGAATGAAATCTCACAGTCTGCAGGGACTTGGAGAGATCTTTAGAAAGGCTATCATGCTAAATGAAGCACCTCAGATCAGTCGTTTCCATGCAGAATCTACCAAAGGATACACCGTGAACAGAACAGAACAAATCAGAAGCAGGCTCATAGATACCACAAAGAAACACATGGGTGGTGGCCAGAGGAGGGAGGGGGGTGACACGGTGGCGGGGGTGGGTGGGGAGGGGGAGAGAATGAGTGAGTGCCACTGGTG